TGTGTGTGTGTGTGTGTGTGTGTGTGTGTGTGTGTGTGTGTGTGTGTGTGTGGCATCCAAAGTCTGTCCGCTAATAATTTAGTTACTCTCTGCCTCGCTGCCTTGGCGCAGTGCCTGCAACGCGCACACACAGCATCCACATCATGATGATAATCATGCTAATGATCATTATAATTACAAGCATAAGCATAATCATTATGGCCTTTATAATTGGCGCAGTCGTCGCTGCTGCTGTTTATAGAGTAAATTATTTTGATCTCTCTCTCGCCCTTCCATCCTCCCTCTCTCTCTCTCTCTCTCTCTCTCTCACTCTCTCTCGCTTTGTCTCTAAAAAAAATTAAGTGAAATGAAACTAAAGAGATACAAAAGTATCTCAACTGTCTGCAGCTGTTGAAAAGACAAACAAATACTTTTCTCTTACAGTTTCTTTCTCCCCACTTCAATGTTTATTCAAATGAACTCGTCTGCAACAACACCAATACCAACTTTTTACTCGTCTAACTTAAATACAACAAAGGCAGCGAGGAAGAAAAGAAGAAAAAGAAATACGTGTAAATATTAATCATTTAAAGGATGATACCTTTACAAATCAAATACTTGCCCTAATGGAGCCTCATTTACATGATTCTCTCTTCACATTCGCCTTCATGCATTGGTTGATATCAAAACCGATTTGATAAATATTTATTTATTTATTTTTTTAAATTTTCATTAAACAAATATTCATCAGAATATACAGGATTTTTATAGTAAATTTTAATTTAATTTTTTAAATTAAAAAAAAATTATTTTACATATTTTTCAATCATTAAAATAAAAATGTATACTAATTTTTATTTTATTTTATTTTTATTTGTTTACAATAAATATAGTAGCTATAGTAAAATATTATATATAATTATTTTTATTTTATTATTATTATTATTATTATTTATATATTGTTTTTTTTACCATGAAGCTTTGTCAAAGTAATAAATAGCTTCAATCCAAAGAATTCATTTGATTTTCGTCGTAGAAAATAATCAATATAGGTGCATACGTATCAGCTGAGACTGATTATCCGATTAGGGATAATATATGTTGTATGCCCTTTTGGCGCACGTAGCTGCTGGCTGGCATAACTTGGCCGAATGTAAGATAATCAGCTTAAAGCAAATCAATTAATAATAAATTATAGACCGGAGGCGTTACATACAGCTTACATCGCACATCATGGGAGGCCACAAGAAAGAGGAAGCCAAACAAAGCTTTGCCCACGAGCAGTTGATATATATGTACATATATATATTTCTTTTTTTTTTCTCGAGATTTTCGCAGAAGCGATTTTTGCTCTCCTGCCCCTGTTTTGGGTTATTTTGCCAAGTCTGCGAAAAGTTGTTGTTGTTGTTGTTGTTGTTATTTTCAGATATGGAATGAAGAAAGGCAAAGAAATGCCACCCATGGACGTGGCTCTCTTTGAGGTGTATTGTTGTGTGAAAAAATTGGCAAAATAAAAGAAAGAAATTATTTACAAACAAGTTTAGACAGCATTCGCAAATGTTATGGCCAAACTTTGTTGTCTGCGTGCCTTTGGTTTCGCCTCCTCAAAATATAAAGAAACGAAACGCAACGAAACGAGAAGAAAAGAAAAAGAAAATCTGCTGCTGACGACAGCAAACGAAAAGTAAGGCCCACATAAAAGCCAAGCAGGGAAAACTTGACTACAGCCAAGGCTCCAGCTCTATCTATGCCTCTGACGGTATATAGTATAATATGATATGGGTGCAGTCGGCCCGTCAACTTTTGCAAACTATAAGTGCCACTTGCTGGCTTTATTGCCCATTTCCAGGCGCTTGACTTTAATGCAATGCTAACATTTGCCCGCAGACATCAAGATACCGCACGAGAGAGAAAGAGAGAGAGAGACAGAGAGGGGTAGGTGGCGGTGGGGAACGACTTATACAGAATGCAGCTACATCTAATTAACAATATTTAAATTGCAAAACAGCTCCGAATCTCGGGCATCTTGATAAATTCGATGGCGAAATACGGTCATTAATTTTTTGGCAAATTAAGCGCAATCTACACGAACCCAGCCGCATAATGCGCCATCCATAAGCGGGGAATTTAAATTAGCGAACGGGCCCAACCTGAGCCAACCCAGCCAGCCCACGAATATTTGTCAGGCAGTCAAGCGGCGCAGCAGCAGCAGCCACAAGCATCCACTCTATCCATACATACATACATATACATACATACATATATATACTTACACTTGCCACGTACTCCAAGCACTGACTGAAGGAGTTCCCTGGCAGTTGCTCCACTTACAGTGCCGTCTTCCCACCTCCTCCCGCCGGCGCTGTGTGCGTGCCCGGGAGCTGCTTGGCTGGCTGCCCAACTGTCTCCCGGCGCGGGCAACTGGATAAGCATCTTCACTTAATACACTGAGTATAACGTCGATGCTCGGCCTGATAATAATGTCCCTTGTGCGATACTCACGATTTCGATGCCTTCCGCAAAATTTAATAAACTCCGGCCCGGCCCATATTGGTTTATTTATAGCTGCATAATTTACAGTTTTTACAAAATTTAAAAACAACAAAACATGGAGGTCCATAAGGAAATCAGTGAGCGGAAAACTTGGAGATAAATTGCAAATTTATTTAGAGAGAATTCATTTTAGGCGGGGATTTCTATATTAACGTCGCGACGTCTTATTTGTCATAGAGATCTGGGATGGATCTGTCTGAGGCTTTATTTATTCATACTTGGAGAGCTTCCGCTGTCTATTTTTATATAAATATATGTACATTTTTGTTTACTTAACATTTACTGGCTGTACTTCAGCATCAAATAATACTCGTGAAAACAATGTAAAAGTATTAGCAGATATTTAAACACGTAGGTCCCCAAGTCAAATTAGGGGCTTACGCAGATTAATTCCTGATGCTGTATACTAAATAAACCTTATGGCGTTTACATTGCCTGTGACTGTTGTCGGTGTGTGTGTGTGTGTGTGTGTGTGTGTACTTATTAGTGATACGGCATATTCATATAGTTTTGACAGCACGTACAGCTAAACAAAAACAACAACAACAGCAAGGGGGAGACGAGCTAGCAATTATGGCCAAGTCAGACAGACAGGCGGGCAGCTTAGTCGCCGTGTGGCGGCGGGGGCTAAAGAGGTGGGCGCAGGAGTCTGTGCCTGGTGGGTGGGTGGTTGGTGGTGCTCTGTGTGCGTGCCTCAGACACTTTTAGCTCCCTGGCGAATGGGCGAGTGGAAGAGGGCGACCACAGCCACAATGAAAAACAACAAGCACATAAAACACAAATGATTATAGTATCTAATCATGACGTCGTTCAACAGCGCCCATGCCGGCCCCCCCCTCTCCTCATGGAGTGCCTTCAAGCGATTGCTACTTCACGTCGCCAGCGCCGTGGCCCAAGCGGACAGTGTAGTTGATGACAGCAGTTCAAAGACTGTCATTTGCCACTGCCACAGCCACAGCCCGTCGGAGTTTCAGCTAGTGCCACGCCATTATAATCAGCTGTGCTCCCTCTCCCCTCGCCTGCCACACAATAGGGTATATGTGTGCGGGCCCACACTGCGCGCAAACTGTGTGCTTGGCATTTTAAGTGAATCACAGTTTAGAGTGGATTAGTTGATCATTTGAAAATATAATGCCTTAAAAATATTAACTAAATAGAGAAATTATGAGATGAAAATTTGAACGTACTATAAAGTTTCTAGTTGTCGCTCACTGAGCTAAAAATTATTAAAATTTTTAATATTAACATATATTAAGTATGTGCATTATAGTTTACTTAATGTTTGGGATTAAAATAAAAAACATTGCAGTTTAAAAATATATAGCATACTTTTGGGAGCAATATTAATTATTTAAATATATGATTCCCTTTTTCATTTTCTTTAACTGTAAACTTGCCAACTAGGTAGTAGAAAACCTGTTTAAAAAAATAATAAATATATAAATAAAAAAAAATAAAATAAAAAATAAAAAAAATAAAAAAAATTAACTGCAAACTAAATTTGTTATATTTTATTTATTATTTGTATACTTTCCATTATTATTTTAATAAGTTTGCTATTATTTTATATGTCTCATATTCAATTATAAATTTAATTTAATTTAATAAATGTCTTGTATTAAAATAAATCTGAAACCTTTAATTCTTGTAATAGATGACTCAGCCACACCAGCTACAACGCATTGATCAACCATATTTGATAAAGAAACAAAAGCTAAATGGAAATATTATGCCAATCATTCACCTTAAATATTCAACATTCATTTCATGTCATTTTAAATACTTTTGACTTCATTTCATTTCAAAACAATTTTCATTTGATTGAAAATAAATGGTATTATTACACATTATTAAATGCATTCAACAAACTGAATGCCCAGCTGTCAAAGGCATAATCGAGAAGAACATGTTCACAAATAAGAGACTGCTTCTCCTGGCAGCAAATAAATCACAAATTGTGTCGAGTGTAATTACGATGAGCTCCTCCGTACAATATCATTCTCATGCCGTACAAGTGGTACGCCAAGCGACATAAATAAAATGTGCTCACACACGTGCACACACATACAGAGTTTTACACCCACACACAGGCGCACACACACACAGGCACACACACATTCAATAAAAGGTCTTTCAGTTTCCGTCTCGAGTTCAATGTATATTATTTTCTTTACGTGCGACTGGCTGGCTGAAAAGAGAGAGATAGACAGAAGGAGAGAGAGAGAGAGTAGGGAGGCTGCCTTGTAAAATTGCTTATAAATTATTATTGTCATTATTGACAGAAATGAATCGTCATTTTGTTGACGTTATTGTTTACCGTTACATTGTCCTCCTGTATATATCATTCAATGGCTGTTGTTGTAGGCGCCGAAGTTTTGTATGCCAAAGTTTAGCTGACATCATTCAGTTAGTCAGCTGGGATTTGCCGAGAGTCTCCCCTGCGGCCGCGTCTCAATTGTATTGTACTTTAAAATATGAACACCAATATTGACAGATTGTTTTCAATTATTGCCTAATTTGATATTGATTCATTCAATTGGACAACTGTCTCTCTGTCTCTCTCTCTCTCTTCTTTTATCCATTCGCACAGGTCAAGCAATTGGTAAAGAAGCCCATCTCCTGGCTTCGCATGCGGGATGGCCACATACTCACCGTGGATCAGACCACCTTCATAGCGGATCAGCGCTTTCAGTCGGTCTTCTCGCCCAACCCCGAACGCTGGTCCCTGCAAATCAAATACGTGCAGCTCAAGGATGAGGGCACCTACGAGTGTCAAGTCTCCACGGAGCCCAAGGCGAGCGCAATTGTGCACTTGCGCATTGTGGGTGAGTAGCAGAAGTAAAAAGTGTTTGGCAGGTCGACAACAATAGTGCAAGTCCCTATAGAAATCAAAGGGCATTGCAGGTACTTGAAATTCAATTTGATTTAGGCGAGTAAATCTATTACAATATATCTTTATTTGTTTTAAAGGGAGGAGGTATTTATTTGCCATGTATATTTTGCCCTATGCCCTATGCAATTCTAAAAAGAAAATGAGAAAGCAGTCAATTCAAGTCCATATAACTGTTAGATAAGACTTGCATCAAATCTAAACTAGTCTTAAAAGTATTTTATTTATTTGTTCTTTTTATGTATTTACGTATACGTATTTTATAGCAACCACATTTTAATGTATTTTATATACATATATATATATATATATATATATATATATATATGTATATATATATTTTTTTTTTATTTATATGTTTAATATATTATTTTTTTGTATTTATTTTTTTATTAATTTTTAATTACTTTATTTATTTGTTTGTCAGTTTTCATTTTATAATGATATTCTAAAAAAAATGTTAATTAGTATACTCGTCTCATTTTGAACAATTAGTTGTGCAATTTATATTTTTCAATATTTTTATTTATATTTTTTCTACATAATTATTTATATTCGTAATGTTTTTTTCAGCTGTGATAAATTTTATATCCTTTTTCCTTACATTTTTTATATTCTTATTTAAATTTTTTCTACGTATTTATTTAAACTCGTAGAATTTTATTTTTGTCAGTTGTGATAATTTTTATTTCCATTTTTATTTTCCATGTTGTATATTTTTCATTTATATTTTTTCTACATATTTATTTAAATTCGTAACATTTTATTTTTGCCAGCTGTGATAATCTTGATTGCGAGCTTTTTCCCCGAATCGCCCATTCGATGCCAATCAATGACAGCCATAGCGTAGTGCAATGCATGCCACACCCCCAAAGCCCAAATTCAAGCCGCAGCATAAATCACAAAGCAGGCCAATAAATCAGTGGCTCCTGCACTGATTTGGCCCAGATTGTAAGCGACTCTCTAAATGTGTGTCTCGCCCTGTCTCTGTCCGTGTTTCCGCAGAACCTAAAACCGAATTAATTGGCGAGTCTACGCGCCACGTGAAGGCCGGAAGTCAAGTGAAACTGCGCTGCATAATTAGCCAAGCGCTGGAGCCGCCACTTTTCATTAATTGGTTTTACAATCAGAAGCAAATCTATTTGCATAATCGTCGCGGCTGGCGAACGGAAATTGAGCGCATCGATCTGCCAACGGAAGTGCCAACGACGCCGACAGCAGCAACGTCGACAGCAGCAGCAACAGCAGCAACAGCAACAGCCACATCAGCAACAGCAACTGCAGCAGCAGCAGCAGCAGCAGCAGCAGATTCCCTTAATGATATAACGGCCATAACACGTTCGTATATTCTAGATGCGATAACGGTGAGCGATGAGGAGGCGAGTGCCGGATATGGATACGTGCTGCCAACGACGGCAACGCCCACAGCAGCCGCAATGTCAACTACAGCAGCCACTGCTGCAGTTGCACTCGCAGCAGCGGCGACAGCAGCAGCAGCAGGCGTTGCCTCAGGCCAAGGCGTTGCAGCAAATGATATGCTGACAACGGCAGCAGCTGCTGGAGACAAACAGTCGACTGTGACGACAGCAGCAGCAGGAGCAGGAGCAGCAGCAGGTGAGGCGGCAACAACAATTCCAACAACAACAACGACAACTGAGCCAAGCACAACGCCAACAACAACAACAACAATGCTGCCGAGCAGCAGTTTCATTAAGCAGATAACGGTAAGTGGCATACCACACATGTGGGCGTGTCTCTCATCATTATCATATAGAGCGCACATCAACATTCATCCTCACTCTCTCTGTCTCTCTCTCACTCTCTGTCGCTTGTACACTCAGAGAAATGTATACGTGCATTGATAACAAAGACAGGGTGACCAAATATTAAAATATATAGAGAAAATTGAATTGCATATGAATATGAAATTGAATATATAACCACATATTCCATTGTGTGCGGAATGTGGAATGGAATAGAATCATTCAAGAAGAAACTTTTGCTGACCAAGATTCAAGGCCAGTTTTACTATTTATTATGATAACCAAATATATAAAATATATCAAAATTATATCCAAAGCTCTGACAAGTTAAAACAAAAGAGAAATAAATAATAATAAATAAATAAATAAATATACATTTTTTAACTATCTCAATATAATTATCAAAAATAGTAAGACTTTTGTCTTGTCTATTGAGTATTGGAAGATTTGCTATATATTTTTTTTTTTATTTTTTAATACAAACCCCATTTTAACACAATTTCATAAATCAATAATTTCAAGTACCATTTGACGAGAAGAGACTGCGATTTTTGGCAAGTGCATTTGACTAAATGTATTTTCACCACGCGAATTACCCCCGCAAAGCTCGCTCGTTTTATTCAATTTCCCAACGTTGTCGAGAATTGTCAGCGTCGTCATATTATAATTTTAATATATGATATGATGGCGTGCATATTTTGTATTTAAATGCTTTCACTCAGCCGCCATTCCAATTGCCAGCCGTGGCATTCCGTTGCGCATACGCCCCGAGCGCCGCCGCGGCGTCTGTCAGCTGTCTGGCCAGCTCAAGTAGCGCATAGCCCCAGCCATCTATGTATATGTATATAATATATATATTTGAGCTATGTTCTGTGTTATTTTTCCCCTTGCAGGCTGCCTCGCTAATCATTCCCGCCGTTGTGAAGCTCGACTCGGGAAACTATACATGCAGCCCCTCGAACAGCGCTCCGCGCACCATTGTGCTGCACGTGCTAAATGGTAAGTCTACAGGGGCAGGGCAGGGCAGGGCAGGGCAGCGCTCGCTTGGCTTGGTTGCTGGCCAAGCTGTGTGGCTGGTGCCAAATGTTTTTGTATTGCATGCCAATAGAATTAAGTTTTCATTTAGCCTAATTGAATTTTACTTCGCTGACTTTCGACTCGCGAGCGCAGGCACAGTGGTATCGAACCACAAGTTTTCGCTCTGAAATGGAATCAAATTAAATTGAATGTTGCATGCAGGCTTATAAGGAAATAGAATACCTATATATAAGAGTCATTTATATATATATTTATTTAGTTCCATTTTATATATTTGTATATAAAGTTGAACAGCTTTGCCTGTTGTTATTAATTATTCCTGTAGTTATTTATATTAATAATAATATATTATATATTTTTCTTTTTATGTAGATAGCTTTGGCATATAATTAGATTGCTTTTTGCTTTGGATTCACCTTTCAGTTTCCATTGTTGAGCCATTTAGTTTTTATTTGTTTACACAAGTCTCCACCTTTGCTGATGGTCACTCAGACAGAAACAGTAACATTACACAGCAACAACAACAGCAACAATCTAAACAAAAACAACTGCTGCAGTTTTATTGTTATCTCCAAATGTCCCACAATTGCGTTATTTGCTTCGTGTCCAGCAGAAGACGACAGCGAGAATGAGAAGCACGTAGCTTCTACTGCTGCCGCTGCTGCTGCTGCTCCTGCTGCTGATGATGATGATGATGGTAATGAGAGCGAGCATGATGATAATGATAATGATGACCTATAAACAGTGTAATACACACATATACACATTGCCAGCATAGCTGCCACAACTGTTTGTCCAGCGCAGAGATACATTTGTATCTTTGTATCTGTGCTTCTCGCATATCTGGCGCATCGGCTGTATTTATGTATCTTTATATCTTTGTGTCGCTCAAGCGCTGCGAGATATTTGTTTATCGATACGCAATTGCTGTTTGTATTTAAATCGTTTGGCTTGCAGTATTTGTATTGATGTTGCTGCTGTTGTTGTTATTGTTCTTTGAGCTGTGCGTGTATGTCAACTTTGACATGTGTTCAGCTTGAAGCATGCTACTTTAATACGCCTCTAGAACGCATGTGGGTGGTGTGGTGCACGTGGCTTGGTGGTTAGTGGTTGCCAGCTAAGTGTTGATGACACCTGATGTGCGCTGCTGGTTGGCTGGCTGGCTGGCTTGAGGGACAGGTGTGCGCTTTGCGTTTGTCGTTTACACGTTGTCAGTCGCAACAGAATACCAACAACAACAACAGAGGCAGGACTGTCACGTCTATTGGGGCCAATGGTATTTTAAATAATGGCCATAAAAATGGCATTGGATTTGACGGTAAATTGTGGTTCGTGTGGATTCTATGCGACTGTCAAGTGCTCCACATGTTTGTTTTGTAAATGCCAAAGCGTCGAAAAAGGGACAAAACAATGATTCAAGGGCGTGCCTGTCAACCTGTCATTCAAGCCACACCCCGCCCAACCCACTGCGGTCGCCTCTGAACAGTTGTTTTCTGCCGTTTCAATTCAAACAAGGCATAAATTGTGAACATGTTGGAATTATTCATGACATATGGCTCTTACGATAAGCAAAAGTGAAAACGAAAACTGTTAAAATTTTACAACAAATTTATTCATTTTCAAAAATATTTATTGAACCATATTTAATTGATTAAATTTATATTCTAGTACTTTTTAAAATCATTTCATTTAAGTAGAAATTTTCGTTTCTCTTCTAGTACAATAATAATTAATTTTTATATAAATCCTCTGGCAGAATTTGTGCATTTTTCCGAATAGCTTCACAGTTGTATAACAAAATATTTAAAATTTTTCCCTAATTAAGTGTGTTGAATATCGTGAATAAAACACGGAAATTTCGCAGCGCATGTTCATCCATTTTTCATTGATTGCATCTTCACATTATCACAGAGCTTCAAGCAAAAAAGCGAAAAGCTGAAATGAAAAATGGGAAAAACAAGTGAAATATATTGTGTAAAATTTATGTATTTTTAATATTCGACTAATTGGCGCAGATAACATGCGTCCTGCAGCACTCTTAATCCGCACAAATGAGTAAAACATGTTAAAGCGGGATAATGAAAAAATCACTAGGCAACAGAGGCAAGGCAGCAGCGGGGGTGCGCCCACGAGTGGGCGAAGCGGCAGGGTTTTCATCTGCACATTTGTTATGCATTTTAACGGTGGATTGGACAGCTGTGGGAAAGAAAAAAGAATTGAAAACATGCAGGTTGTTCGAGACTATTGTTGAAAATTCGAAAAAGCATAAAACTGTTATGGATGAATTTTTACACAAGTGCGCTGCAGGGTTAATAAACTTAATATCATTCTGTGGCCAGTGCAGAATCGAGAGCATAAAAACAACAATTACAGCCGTGACAAATTAATAACTCAATGATATTATCATTTATATGTGCTCTGCTCTTACACACGACATAATTTATATTATTTTATAATGCATTTATTAATGTACATCTATATATTTATAAAATACATAACACATATGTATTTGATGCTAAGGCGAAAGGATATGGGATTCAGGGGCAGAGTAATCAGTCGAGCAAAAAAGGAATAATTTAAGTAAATGGATCGCATGCAGATACACAAATACTCATACATGTAGCACGACTTCATATCGAATGGACTCTATAAAGTCAAGCAGCTCTCTATTATCAATGTACACTCCGAACCGGGTCAAACATTTAGCTGTATTTAATTATTTTGAATTAATAATATATGATTTATTCTAGCAATTAGCTTGAATCTAAAATTCTATGCTAAACTCAATTCGCTGTGCAAATATTGTATGCCGTTATATTTACTGCAATATTTATGATAATTAAATATATACATATGTATGTAATGGTAACGTTTGACCCCTGCTTAAATTATTAATAATGCATTTGTTGATAAATGCGCCAAATGAAAAAAATAAAAAAATACCATATTTGAGCTGATGAAATTACACGCATTTATTTATATTATTTAAGTACAAATATTCTCTTAGTCCCTATTAATTTCATTCAAATATTTATAATTAAAATATATATGAGAGCTATTAAAATTGCTGGAATTTTATTACTTGAGTTTACTTAACAGTTTTCAATTCATTTCTGTTGAACATTTCATATTGATTCTATTCACATACTTATTTACATATATTTAATTAATTTTGTTAAATTTAAAGTTAGCATTAGCAGTTATTAGACTTTTGAAAATAATTTTCTTGACTCGATGCAATTTTTGGCTTCTGCTGTTTTCAGTATTTAATTTTGCCAGCTTCTACTCAAGTGCACTCTGTTTGCTGAACCAGTTCATTTTGGCATTGTTGTTGTTGATATTAAATTCCAATGTTTGTTTTGTGCATATTTCACGCCTCAGCCATGGGCTCAGCCCGGCCCGCCTATAAAACGATGCTCAAACGTCTCTTAATTTATGCGCTATTTTATTTGCTCTTCTCGGCTTTAGTGTTTGCTGTTCAATTTCACCATAGAAATATTTAATTACAATATGCCTATATTTACTCAATCGACTAGTAACACACACATACACACATGTCCATACGCATGTATCTGCATATAAGCACACGCATTTTATGCAAAATTATTTCTGAACTTGTTTGTAATTGAAAATGAATTTATATGCGCAGTTGGAAGTCCAGTCCTAAGCAAAAGCCAACACATTTGATTTTTTGTTTTTGTTTATTTTTTTTTTTTTTATAACCATCCAGGTGAATACTCCGCATCGGCTATTAAATCGGGCAGCGTCAGCTGGAATACGCTAATTGGTTGTCCTGGCTATGCGCCGTGGCGGAATATTTTAACAATTTTGACACTGTTTTGGATTATTAAATTCGTGTCCACCAGCCATCGAGGCCGAAACAAAGTCAACAAGCGCACAGCGGCCGCAGCGCTTCAGGAGCCAGCCAGCACGAAAAACAGGACAACGTCTGGCGCAAGTGTCAGCCGCAGGCTCTGCTCCCAGATGCAGACGACAACCCGCAGGCAGGGATTCAATGGCGACGCCTGCGGCGGCAGCTGTGGCCGCGTCAGCAGCTCAATTAGTGGCACGAAAGTGGCCGAGGACAAAACTTGAGCGCTGAGAGCAACGGCAGCGGCAACAGGAATACCAGCAGGAAGAAATAACGATGCTGGGATTCAGTTTAGACTACGCGTAGTACTTTAAGTCCCAACAATGAGAGATACATTTCTGGCCACGACTTTGTCAAATAGATACATTACAAATGCATTCACGCTCTCATCTGTTGCAGCAAAAAAATAAAAAATAAAATGAATTAATTAATAAAATCAAAAACATATTTCTAGTACTTGCTTGTGAATTCTTGATATATGTAGGAGTGTTTGCATGTTTTAAAACTTGCCAGGAAAGTTTGTTTTCATTTACGTTCTGAGTTTATTAAAATATTTCAATCTCTTCTCCTTTGGGTAATCAAATCAAGGATATTGAAAGCCCCAGAGAGTTATGTAAATATGCATGAAAGGAATCTTCAGTTCGAAATCTTTAAGATGCGGTTTGAGTTATGGTTGTATTTACATGATAGCACTATAGGTAAGGCGATTCGGAAATAAAAATCATCATCAGCAAATCATCGAAAGCATTTGTTGAGCAGCTAAGAAATAATAAAAACGCCCAACTGGAAGCCAAAATTAAACAAATAAATTAATAATTATAAGTGTACAATAAAATGGAAGGTTCATATTTAAATGTATTGATAATCCTAATAGCTAAACTGTGTATGTCTGCTAAAAATCCAGATATTTATGAAAAGAAAACGTATTCAAGATAAATCAACTCACAATTAATTAATGTATTTTCCAAGCAAAATTATGACTCTGCATAGATCCAATTCAAATTGGATCCGCCTAAATTGTAAATATTTTACTTTATGTTTTACAAAAGGAAACAAAAACATAAAATAAACCAGACATATATATATATATATAAAATAAAAGTAGAATTTTGAATGTGTGTAAACAATGATTCTAAAGAAAATATATCTATAAAAACTCAACTTCAATTGTAAATATGAATGTGTGTGTGTATTGGAGACGTAAACTACAGCGTTCCTTCAACAATAAATAATCCACAAAACCAAAAAAAAATATATATATATAAAAATAATAAAATAAAAGCAAGTTTTAAACAAAGCAAGCAAATAAACGAAGATGCCATAAATAAACATTAGTTAGTATTAACGACTTGCAAGAATTTCAAGCGCAACTTCTGTTCGGTTCCAACATTTTTTGTTGATTTCAGTTTTTATTGCAGCTTGAAAAAAAAAAGAAATATATATATTAAATTAAAGTAAAAGAATTATAAAATTGGCAAATAAACCATTTGCTATAAGTATTAAGCGATTATCGTAAGTGATGACAAGTAAATAAATACATTTTCCCTAAATGAAAATTTAAATGTTGAAAATTGCTGAGTGATTTCTAAGTCATAGATACTGGAACATACTCTATATATATTGGAATTGACAAATGGCTAAGGAGAGCATTTAGCAGCTGATTTAGCTGATATAGCTAAATATGTATTTCAGTTGGATTTCATTTTGGAATCAGTCCATTTATTGATTGCTCAATTGAGGCTGCCTTCAGTGGCTGGCACCGAAGCGTTTTCCACATGTGATGTCAACAACGATTGAAATGCTAGTAGACAAAGCAGCATGCTGTGGGCACAGCAAGTGAACTGGTGGTGCCAGGACAACAAGGACTCGAGCATGTGTGTGGGAAGTCGACGTGTCGACTGAAATATTCATGCAGTGCTCATGAATTGTGCACAAGTTTGTTAAATATTCATTCATTTGTCGGACCACAAGTGTTTTGGGTGGTTGGCAAATGTAAAACGCAAATGTTTGACAAATCTTCCTCTTACAGCACACAAATATTTTTGGCCTTTCTTTTTTCAGCAAATAAAAAAAAAAAAAAACGGCATGTGTTGGGTAATTCCAAATATCGTATATATCCTCTTCTTTTTACTTTATTTATTTAATAAAGATTATTATTATATGTTCTGTTACTTCGTTATGATTGGCGTACCTTTATTCATCTTCTTCTTCTTCCGAACTCAGATAGTTTAGATAGTAAATATATCAGACTTAGAAGAGACAGATTTCATAACGCACTCCACTTTTATTATTACTATTATTATTTAATATTTAATATTTAACTATCGAACGGTCAATTAAGGTAATGTGCCTCTCGTTTTCGACAAGGTGTTTCCGTCTTGTTCGTGTAAGGGATGTGTCGCCGTCAAGTGGTTGAGCAATGCTTGATGTAGCTGTGGTTGCTGATAAGTGAATCGTTGCTCGCTATATAAGCGGTGCAGCGGCTCTAGTCAAACGACAGTGGAGAAGTGAATACTCCAAACGGTAAAAGCAAAGAGCAGGACTATTTTTAACAATGAGAGTTTGTAAGTTCTGGAGTCGATGTGACGTTTTGAGTATTTTTTCTATAGTGAGGCATTGCGTTTTATAGACAACTTGCTGCTGCTCACTTTTGTGACTGCTCTGGCTTCTCTGGCTGCAAGCGGCGAGGCACACATTCCTGACTGTTCGGATCATATTAATGGACTCTCGTTCGCGGATCCCGTTAGCTGTTCCAGCTTCTATGTATGCCTGCGCGGCCGTGCGCTGAGAAGAGAGTGCAGTCATGGCCTGTACTTTGATCCCAGGACTCAGATCTGCAACCTGCCGCGCCTTGTCGAGTGCCACAATGGTGATCGCAGCGGCTCGATAGTCACTGGAGATGCTCATGGCGATCATCTGGCGGCCCCAGGTGGTAAAGCTCCTTGCGAAACAACTCCGAAGCCACCGTGCACTAAGACAGCACCTACAGCTCCACCACCCTGTACAAAAACAACTACCCCAAGTGAGGACACACCAAGTGAAACAACTACGCCTTGTGAGACAACAACCCCTAAGGTAACAACACCGAAAGCAACAACCCCTAAGGTATCAACAGCTGGTCCAGTAACCGAAAAGACAACAACACCGAAAGTAACAACACCGAAAGTAACAACACCGAAAGTAACAACACCGAAAGTAACAACACCTAAGGCAGAAAAATCGACAACATCAAAATCTACAACTCAAAGTACAACAACAACGTCGACACCTTGTACAACAACAACGACATCAACAACAACAACGACAACAACAACGACTACGACAACGACGACAACAACGACAACGACAACGACGACAACGACCACGACGACAACGACCACGACGACAACGACCACGACGACACCCTGTACGACGACCACCACAACAACAACAACCACAACGACAACAACCACTACAACCACTACAACAACAACAACGACAACAACCACTACAACAACAACATCGACACCTTGTACGACAACAACAACCACTACAACAACAACCACTACAACCACTACAACAACAACTACCACAACAACCACTACAACAACAACAACGACACCGTGTACGACAACAACAACTACGACAACCACAACAACAACAACTACGACAACCACAACAACAACGACAACAACAACGACAACAACCACGACAACAACGACGACCACAACAACAACAACAACGACAACTGAAGCTCCATGCGAGACCACTAAGCCCCCTTGCATAGCCACTGAAGCAACAACGACAACTAAAACTACAACTACTAAAACAACGACGACTAAGACAACTACTAGAACAACACCTACTAAAACGACAACAACGACGACGACAACTGAGGCTCCCTGCGAGACCACTAAGCCCCCTTGCACAGCCACCGAAGCAACAACGACAACTAAAACTACAACTACTAAAACAAC